TAATGTTATAAGACTACTATCAAAGGAACATATTGTTATTGTCATTGGTTTATTATTAAGATTATTAATTCCACCATTTTTGACATTATTGGCATTAGTATTGATTAATTAAGGAGATGGTTTGATTACAATATAATCAGTAATTATAAGGAATTCACTCTTAGAATTTACTCTTAGGTTAATAGAATAGATTGATAGAAATATAGAAATATAGGAATACTATAAGTATGATACATGAGAGGAAGTCTCTCTCATTCTCTTTCTATCCTATGATAACTGTTTTCATATAATATACGAATCCATTGATCATACTACCCCTTAATACCCCTTAAAATTGATTATTGAGTAGAGGAAGAGAGAAAAGGAGAGGGAAAGGAAGGAGAGGGAAGGAAGGAAGAAATAAAGAAGAAAGAAAGAAAGACTGGAGGAAGTTACGAGTGAGAGAAGAAAGTGGGAGTTCTGGAAAATATCTAAATTAGGGATCCAATTCTTCAAACAATGACAAGCATTGCAAATCTAACGAAAACTGGCACGGGGAGGAAGCCACCATCCCAGCCGTCTTTAGTGGCTGCCAGTCCTTCAAACCAAAGATCCTCTGAGGATATGCTCCAGAGAGAAAGATCTAATTCAACCAAGGAGCTTCAGATGATATTACAAACTATGCAAGAGACAATGGCTAAAACCATCAAGAACTGAAAAAGGATATCAGAGAAATAAGAAATGATACTGGAGAACTAAAGGAGAGGATCCAGAAGATGGATGATAAATTTGAGAAGTTCCAGAAACAGATCAATAAAAATGAACAAAGAATAAACATAATAGAAGGAAGGTTGGAGAAGTAGGAGAAAAAAATGGAGGAGCTGAGTTCTAGGCTGATCCAGGTAAACAAAGAACTTGAGTTAACGGACCTTACGTTAGAATAGGAGAAAGCGGCCCAATTTCTACGGTTTCAGAATGTAAAGGAAGAAAAAGGCGAAGATTTACCAGATATGATGGCAGACCTTATGGCAAAAGCTTTGGGAATAGGAAAGGATGAGATGGCAAGTGAGATCGATGAGACATATAGAATCCAGACAAACTATGCAAAAAAGAATAATCTCCCGAGAGAAGTCCATGTAAAATTCATTAAAAAATCAATACGTGACGAGGTGCTGAATAGAACAAGAGAGGATCCCATAGCACATAATCAATGACAATTAACAGTCCTAAAACATGTACCGAGGAGAATCAGAACCAAGAAGGCCCTATCAATTTTTAACATCTGTGATGAATGAATATGAAATTACTTCAGATAGTTGATGCCGGAGGGTATACTGGTAACTTGGAGAGATAGAAGATTCAGAATAGACACAGTGGAACAAACGGAAGATTTCTACAATAATCTGGTTGGGCAGGAGGATGAGGAAGACGAAGGAGAACTGTTGGAAACAAGGATGCAAGGACTTAGGGCACAGATAAGAAGAGAAAAGGAACTAGCGGAGACAAGAAAGGAGAAAGAAGTTGTTTTAGAGAAAAAAGGGGAAAGAACCAAGAGAAGTGAGAGAGATAAGGGCAACAAGAAGCACACTTACATTTATATAACAATTATATAGAGAAAACAGAGACTATGCAAAGGAAGGAATACCACAATATCTAGAAAAGTCAGATCTGCCAAAGATTCCAGAGGAAATAAAAGATATGCTTAATGAAGAAAGATCAAAATGGATTCTTCCCCAGAAGACAACTTAAAAACAATATGAGAATTATGCTGGACATTCTCGAATATTATGAAGTACATAATGAAAAACAGATTGCACTATTTTTTCTCGATGCCCAAAAGACATTCAACAATGTGAACTGGGAATTCTTGCATCAACAATTGGAACACATGGAATTAGAACAATATATACAAATCAAAAAGCCAAAGTAATAATTAATGGTGAATTAACGCAAAGTATAACAATCCAGAAAGTTACAAGACAAGGTTGTCCCCTATCCCTGCTGCTGTTTATATTAACCTTAGAAGTTTTAGCTAGGAATGTACGTAAAGAGAAACAGATAAAGGGACTAAAAATTAAAAAGGAACAATTTAAGTTACAGGCTTTTGCGGACGATCTAGTGTTTGTGTTAGAAGATCTTATAACGTCTGGTATGAAACTTATCTAGGAATTGACAGAATATGGGAAAGTAGCGGGTGTCATGATAAATATGACAAAGACTAAAATGCTGGTTAAAAATATCACATCCAAATTNGATTGTTAGGGGGCAATATGCTGACTCTGTAAACCGCTTAGAGAGGGCTGAAAGCCCTATGAAGCGGTATATAAGTCTAACTGCTATTGCTATTGAACTCTGCAGCTAGGCTTCATACTTCCTTTTCTTTTGCAAGCTTCAAACTCCGTCTTTTACTTTATAATAACAAGTTGAAAGGGGCCCGAGTGGCTATCCAGCCTGACCCCGTATGTTCACTCTTAATGTCCAAATTTCACTTTACATCCTATTTTATCGTAGAGTTATAATTGTGACCTTCAGTGGAAGAAGATATTGCTGGGTTCTCTTTTGGATGTGCAATAGTTGGGTAGGGGAGGAAGAGACAAACAGCACTTTGATCCTAAAGCAGTTCAAGTACCTGGCCAATACAGTTTTCAAGAGGGAGAAGTCGCAGTGATGGTGAAGGAAGAATAGGAAGCAGGAGGGCAAATTAGGAACTTTCAAAGCATTTTGCTGGCCTGATTGTAGAGTTTCTAGCAAAATTGGTTCAAGAGGTAATTGTATTCTGCTGACCGAGGAAGCAGGAGAAATTTAAGATTTCTTTTTATAAAATAGATTTATTTTAATGAAACAACATATAAATACAACATTTAGAAATGGTGTTTTGACAGAGGTTCAAAGTTTGTGCCTGTCAATTTGCTTAATTCATGCAGAATTTGTGTTTCCTTTTCATACATCTGAAAAAGAGCAAGGGCATAATGAATGCATACATTTCCTTTCAAATAATACAACAATGTGTGATCTTACAAAGTTGATTTGAATTTTGAATTTAAACTTGTAGTGAACATCTTACATTTGAAAGCTTTTGAACAATAAAAAACCTGAAAAATTAGAATTGTATCAAATCAGTTACAATACTTACTTGTTGCCAGTCTTTTTCTGTATTGTGTTTATAACCAAGTAAGTGGCACATGCCATGAGCAACTGTCACCTGTTTAAGGGAAAAAGCTTTTAAATGATTTATATATTGGTAATCGATTGGCAAAGTAGAATGTTAGAGAAATTCCACATCACAATAATTTAAAATCATAATAGAAATAGTCATCATTTATAGAGACTACAGTGAAAACTTCAGTATGATTTCTCCCTTGTTAGTGGAAAGGAGTTAGAATTATAGAGGGAACAAATGTATTCAATGTATGCCAGTCAATTTAAACAGCATTTTGTATTGCTAGCATTTCTACTAAAGGGGTTGGGAAACTTTTTTTTATAAAGGGTGAGACCCCATCCCTCCTCTGACTCAGTGGGACAGCTGGCAGACTAAGGAACATGGTAAACATTGGACATGCCCTCTACCAACAGGTAGGCTGCTGAGAACTCAACTTGTCATCTTATTCCCATATTTTATTTTTAATTTTTTATTCTCCCTTTATTATTAATCTTTTTTACATAAATAACTCAAGATGGCCAACATATCTAATACTCCTCCCTTCACTTATTTTTCCCACAACAACTCTGTGAAGTAGGTTGGGGTGAGAGAGAAGGGTCACCCAGACTCTTTTTATGCCTCAGGTAGGACTGGAACATAATGTCTCTCTGTTTCTAGCCTGCTGCCTTAACCAGTAGACCCTCACTGCACGTCATTTTTAAACAATGTTAGATTTCATCAAGATTAAACAGGTAGGGAAAGCATGACTTTTGGAACACTACTGGGTCATGTAACCAGCTGTGAGGGGATCTTAGAACTGAGGAGCTGGCAACATTCCTGGAGCTAGCAAGATCAACTGACAAGCACAAAGAGCGGTAACCATAAGCTTTCACCAATGAGTTATTCATATTTTGAGTTGGTATAATGATTTAAATAGCTTAACTATGAAAGGGAAAAAAAACTAGTGACTTGTTTAAGAAAAAAAAATCTTGCAATAAAACACATGCTAGTAAAGATGAGAAAGCTAAAAATAAACTGAGAGTAAGCATGTTATGGGCTAACTTGAAGAATACTGTAAAAAAGGGCTACCAGAATTGTGCTGTCAAAATATGGACAACTACTTGATGGCCACAAAAAGACATAAATAACTTGTTTCTGCCATCTAGTGATCATTTGGATTTATGTAGTACATATATGTTATTCTAGATGTGAAGCAGTAAAATTTCTGTCAGTGGGATTGAAACATTAATATCATATTTTCTGATACCAAAAAGTTTTTAATAAATAACTGGAGAAATAACAATAAAAATATTTTCATTTTTATAAATCATTTCATTAAACATTTCAGAACCTTATTCAAATAAATACTTGTATAAATGTACACTTACTGTAAGAATGCTGTTATAATCATCGTGGTTCTGTCTACATTGTTGATAGATATATTCTACACCTAGAAAAATGTCTCCCAAATTGTCATTTTGAAAACAGGGCTGGGGTAATTCTCCACCTTTTAGATTCTGTGATATGCCCAAAGAAAATTCAGTTATATACATGTTCTCAATTTGGTAAAACAAGTGCCATGCTGAAAATAAAATAGGGGTATTAAGAACAGACTATACAATATTTTTAAACACTTTATGGTAATAAAAGATATAGCATTACTATATTTGAATCCGGGAGATATGAATTTAATTTGTTCTCCTTCTCCCACATTCTCTCCATGTTCTAACTTCTACTTGTTTGCTTCTTATTCACTAAGTATAAACTTATGCATTATGATTTATAGGCTATGGCTTCCTTATTGGAACAAATTTCCATATCACACTAAGCCAAAGCAAACTATATTATGACAATATTAGGTATATATCAAAATTGCTTAGGAGTAATAATATATGTAAGCTCAATGGTATACTCTCAAAGGGATAATTCACAATTTTCAATGGGATTTATTTCCATCTACACTTGCTTAGAACAAGAATTCTAGGAGTAAATAGCAGAGAATATGAAGATCATTTGTACTTCTATCCCCCTACAGAAACTTACAAACAAAACATTTATTCATTTATTAAATTTATATTTAGCCCATCTTGCCTAGTGCGGACTCTCAACAGTAAAACAGGATAAAACATCAAAATATTAAGATAATACATGTTATCACTAAAATTTACATTTACTTTCTTCTCATACATATTAATTACAATAGTTATAAAATAGATCTTGAAAAACAAGTAATAATCTTTTAGGTATCCGTTTATTCACATATTGTGCAATATCCACTATCATGGATATTGATACATTTTTGGGGTACACTTACATAATAAGCCGTGCTGTTTTTTAGGGCCTTCATCTTTGATATGCCACTGTAATTGTCCTTTCCTCTATTATGAAGATTTCTGGATAGGGCCTGAATCATTCCTAATTTGCCAGACTTTTCTGTTGTCATCATATATAAACATGATACTGTTCTATGTATTAATACCTGATTTCTGCTAAAATTACTGCCAAGCTCTAAAGGAATAAATGAGCACACACATACCTCATGAAAAGGAAAAGATAGCACATCAGTAGGGATATTCTTCTGTCTGTAAGTTCTGTTGATTTGCTGTATGTACATATTACTAACACAAATTACACCAAGGTCAAACTTTTGCACACCCAAAATATAACGGAGTTGTTCTATATTCTTGCGAAGTGGGACTCTCCTGATTGGAATAGCTCTCTGCAAATTACGTATGATCAGGCTCATCTCATAAAAATGGAAGAACGTTACACAGTCCTGCAAAGTAGACTATGATTAGACACCAATTACTAGCAGGTGGAACCTAAAATGAGAAGTACTGCAGTATTTTGGATAACAAAAGAATTGTAGCATATTTATTTCCAGTTGCCAGGTTTCCCAAGATAAAAAAGGCACTCCCTAAGGACTTTTTGCAAAGTAAGAGAATGGAAGATGAAACCTGGATGATTAAAAAAAAAAAAGACCCAACTGACTCTAAGGTGAAGCCTGATATACTAATAACAAAAGCACTCATCAAACTAAACAATTCAATTGTGAGGTTACTGCTTCTTCACTAGAGTTGTGCCCAGCGAGTCCTTTTCAGATCTGTTTTCAATTGAAGATAGCATATGAAATGACAAAGTTAAGATCAAGGCATAAAAAAGTATTACAGTGGAATGGTGATGCTTCTATTTGCCCCAGCTTTTGTGAGTCTATAGGCAAGAAAAGAATTAACACCCAAGAGCTATGACTGTTGTGTCTGAGCCCTGCTCTTCCACCAAAAAAGCAGAGATGAAAACAATACAGGAGTTCCCACCCACCCCTTTTTGAAATGTTATTTAATCTTGAGAAACATTTCCCTCTACTAACTTCTATGAACACACTATTGTAAGTTTTGAGGGGACGATATAATTGAGAAAGTATTGGGGAATGCTCTAACCCAGGCTTTCTGAATCTTGGCAGCTTTAAGATAGGTGGTCGCTGTGTGTAATTCTGGGCGCTGAAGTCCACCTATCTTAAAATTGTCAAGGGTGTGAAACCTGCTTTAATCCAGAGCAAAACATTCAAACTAGAAGTGAGGCTTTCTCGTGAAATATACCTTTGCCCCAAAACTCGTCCGTGTTAATCACTTCCCTAATCACTCTGTATTAAAAACTATCTCCAAGCCCTTCCTCACGCACACATTTTATAAATATATATAAAAAAGAGAGACGAAGCTCCGTTAAAAGAAACCGTTAAAATTTTAAACTGTTTTGTTCGTTTTCGATGAGAGGCGTAAAACGGAGTCCTACGCTATCGGCTGAAGCTCGGTAATCCTATTCTTGAGGGAAGTCCTTCAAGAGCATGCGACGCTCTGTCCGCCGTGTTGCGTCACTTCCGTACTGCGCGGGAGACGCCGGGGAGATGCGCGGAGTCCCTTCTTCCGTAGGTGGAGTTGAACCTCTTCGGGGTCAATGGCGGTTTGTTTATGCGACAGTGAGAGAAAGGAATTCGGGACTCACGGCTTCGTTTTGTAGGAAAAGCATCCTCTGTACATCTTCAGAGGTATCTTCTCCCTCCCTCCCTCCCTCTCCCCCTCCCTCCTCCCTTCCTTCCTTTTTCCTCATAGTTGGGTCCGGGTAGCGCAGATAGAAACTAGGGGGCCAAAGTTAAAACTTACGTACCTCGGAGTTTTACGGGCTGATCAGGGGAAGTAATGGTGTTCCACTTGCTTTGTGCTCACGGTGAGTGTTGCTGGAACGGCAGAAGGCAGGCAGAAAGATCAAGAGAGGGGAGCACTTCCACGGTTGAGATAATTGTAGAAATTCTCCCTTCTACTTATTTATGAGTGCTAACATCTAAGGTTATCCAATGGAGCTAGTGGAAGATTCAGAACAGATTAAAAGAAGTTCAGCTTTATGCAGTATCAAGTGTATAGAGTTTAAATTGCAGTTTCAGGTGTTGGGTTCTCATCCATAAAATCCTACTCCAGTGGCTCAGGGCTGCAGTAACAATGGGATCACCATTCTCCTCTGCCCATCCTACAGATCTGGCAGGTTGAGCAAACTCCAGTCCCATCACTTAAGCCAGTGGCTCACAACTTCAACTGGGTGGGGAATTTGGGGAGCTAGGGTTAGGTTGTTGTATGTAATGGTTTGTGATGGTAAGTATGGAGAAGAACCAGAGCCAGGGGAATTGTTGGATTCCCCTGTATTCTTCTGGGTGTGATTCTTGTCTGGACTACCTCGCAAGGCTGATAGCTGTAAAACATTGGCATAAAGTAAACAATGGAGTTTTGTGAGCTCTTGTGTGCCTCTCTTCTCTATCATCATTTTCGGGTGACCATTCTGCCAGAGGTCTGTCCAGCACTATCCCTGCTCTGCTTTAGAAAGGAATAGAACATGTGGCTCGCCCAAGATAGTGTTGTGAATTTAATTAGGGATGATTGATTAGGCATGGCAGAAATGACTTTTTATGTACGGTATCTCCCCATGGTTTAGTGAGTTTTTAAAGGTAAGTTGCCTTGAGTCTTTTTGGTATGATGGTGATATATAAGTCAAATACCGTGTTTCCATCTTTTCCATTTCCTTTCCCCTTTTCTTTCTCTTTTCCTTTTTTCCATTTCCTTTCCTTTCTCTTTTTCTTTCCTTTCTCCTTTCCTTTCTCTTTTCCTTTCCTTTCTCTTTTCCTTTCCTTTCTCTTTTCCTTTCCTTTTTTCCTTTTCCCTTTTTTTCTTTTCCCTTTCCCTTTCCCTCCCTTCTTCATTCTTTCCTTTCTTCTTTCCCATTTCCTTTCCTTTTTCCTTTCCTTCTTTTCCATGTCCTTTTCTTTTTCCTTTCCTTTGCTTCTTTCCCATTTCCTTTCCTTTCCCTCCCCCTCCCATTCCTTCCTTCCTGGGGGTCTGAGGGAGAGGGAGGGGACCCTTTTCCTCCTTGCCCCCCTCCGCAACATCTGCTCTGATGGCAATTATGGCTAAAAAAAAATTCAGTTGCTCAGGCATGAAAATGTGCCACTCAAACACTATACTTTTCCGCACACACTGAAAAAAAAATTAGAGGGAACATTGCTCCCAAAGAGCCGGGCACAGCCTCATGGGCGAATGGCTGTGTTGCGCTGCCGCAGCAGCACAACATAACAGCCATGAAGCGACCACGCTCACAAGCAGCCACCTGGCAAACCCCCTTTCCAGCCGGGCACATTGACCTAGGGGTATTGCCAAACCGCGTGAGCACCTGTTCGCCACTGCCCAGCTCCCGTGGCTTGGTGCCTTCAAAATGCCAATGAATGGCGCTCTGCATGGCTGGAGTGGAGGGTTGCGCGAGTAGCTGTTCCGCTGTCGCTCACGCGCCTCCCAGCCTCATGATGCCCTGGCCCAGTTCTCCCTGCAGAGAGAGTCTTCCGGCAATGGGCATACGCTCTATGGTTGTACGCTCTGCTGACAGTCAGCCCACAACCATAGAGCATACGCCCAGAGTGGCCACTGCCGGAAGACTCAGTTTGGAAGCTGCCGAAAAAGCCATGCCTTGGCTCTGCAGGGAGAGTTGGGCCATGGCATCGTGAGATTGGGAGACGCGCAAGCGGGAGCGGAACAGCTGCTTGCACAACCCCCTTCTCCAGCCCTGCAGAGGGCCATTCACTGGCATTTCTAAGGTGCCAAGCCGCGGGAGCTGGGCAATGGCGAACCGGCGCTCACACGGCTTGGCTATACCCCTAGGTCAGTGAATGGCGCTCTGCATGGCTGGAAAGGGGGTTTGCGGGGTGGCTGCTGTGCCTGACTCTTTGGGAGCCTGCTCGTAAGAGAGCAGCCGCCCGGCAACCCCCCTCTTCAGCTGGGCGCAGCGCCGCTCACCAACCTAGCGGTATCCTGAAGGCATCAAGCAACGTGATCACCTTTGCCCCCCTGGTTCTCGCCGCTTGGCACCTACGGGATACCGCTAGGTTGGTGAGCGGTGCTCTGCCTGTTTGGAGGTGGAGGGTTGTCCAGGGGGCTTATTTGTGGGGGAGTGCTTATATTTTTGCCCACCAGAAAAATGTGGCATGGCCTTATTATCAGAATGTCATATTTTCGGGGAAATACGGTAAATAAACTGCTTATTTTTCCCATAAGTGATAACTATCTGAATTTGAATGATTTTTAAACTCCATTGAAAATTAATGTTGATAATGGTTATTATCATCAGTATCACAGGCAACCTGTCTTTTAATGTCAGATGATGGAAAACACAAACAGAAGGGTACTTCTGCCCTTGTGATCTGCCTGTTAGCTACCATAGACATATGACTATTGTGGAAACAGTACTGGAACAGATAGATCTTCCATCAATTCCAACACTATACTTCTACCATGCTTTCATTCTTAAACTATTTTTTAAAATCCTAACTATTTCCTGAAAAATATGGTGTTCGCTTTTATGGGAGAGAGGGGTTAATTTAAGGAGATGTTATAGAATAGTTACATTTGGCTCAGCTGTATTATTCAAGGTGGCAGTATGATTAAACAGATGTTCCCATGATTGTATGTTCAGCAATTAAATAGTTTATTGTAAATTTTGAGTTAATGGACCATATTTTAACAATAGACAAAACCTATATATGCCATATGCTTCTGAGCATGTATAAAATCTCATTCTCATTTTATGTTTGTAAAATGCATAAAAATGCATGCTTATTTCCATCCCAATCTACACATGGATAAAACACAAAATATGCATGGGTAAAATTTCATTTGAATTTGATAATTTATTTAATGGATGCCTCTTTCTCCCATACCCATTAAATTGTGGATTGACATATATAAACTCTGTGTTACTTATATAGTATAGAAAATAAGCATGTGTACAAGGAACTGAAATACATGTCAATTATGTGAGATTTCATTTTAATTTGAAGCAGCTTAGTTCATATGCACATTTACTATCTTTTTAAAATAGAAGTCTAACATATATCCTTTTTGGGTCAATGTCCCATTTAGTCCATCTGATTCAATTTTCATGTTAGGTAACAATAACAAATAGTATACAAATAGTATTTTTGTCATTGCTCAAGACGTTATTTCAGAAGAGGATGGAAGCCAAAGGACTAACTTAAATAGATTTAATTATCATTGTGGGAGTTAACTAACCCAGTCCTAGTATTTGCATATGTACTGAAGATGTATTTTCTATGAGAATAAAACCATATATATTTGTGTAGATTTGATTAGCACTTTTCTTTCTTTATAATTAGATTTTTAAACCATTATTTTAACGGACTATTATTTGGGCCTGTATCCAGAATAATAAGAGTTGTCATTCCACAAATAATTTATGGCAAGATACTTGTATTTAAAATCACAGTTTAGTTTCAAATTAAGTTTAACGGTGAGAGAACTGATAGTGATGTCTTCAGTGTTTTCTAGTGAGTTGTATAGTTTGTGAAAGGCTTTATAAGTCAAGATTCATTTCAATGAATCTATGCAACGGCTATGTTGCATTTGTATCTTAGATGCATTTGATATACATTCTAGATAGCATAATTCAGTTCTTGTTGGCAAATAACATTGCAAACCAAGGCAAGAGTTGCTTTGGATTACAGTAAGAGAGAAATGGAATAAATAAATTAAAATACAGTACTGTGTTTCTTTTTTTAAAAAGACTCAGCTTGAAAGGATTGTTTTTGTTTATTAATTTTATGACTTAAATTATATATTGCAGGACTAAAAGATGAAAACCAAAGGAACCTAGACAAAAGCTATTTTATATATTAACATCACCAAAAATGAATCCAAACACTCCTTTTAGTGTACAGCCTTCAGGAGGTTTTCAAGCATCCCCTGGTATGTCAACTGGAATGTTCCCAAGTCAGCCACCGTTCCAGTTCAATCAGAGCTCTCTCTTTGGATTGAATAGTGGAGGAGTAAAGAATCCAGGATTTACTGACTTTGCTATTAATTCAGGACTGCATAATTCTTCAGGGCAGGGCTTGGGATTTGGGCAACTTCCAGGGTTTACACAGTCTTATTCTCTTGGACAAACAACAACATTTGTGACTTCTGCACCAATGACTTCTCCTGTTCCTAGCAAATCTGGATTTAGTTTCAGACCACCCACAAATCTTGGCAATTCTCAGAGTACTTCTGCTTTTGGAACTGTGCTTGGAGAAGCTTCTTCAGGTGGTGGTTTTGTGAGATCAGATTTCAGTTTCAAAAGTCCTGAAAATGCAGTGTTCAAACCTATCTTTGGGACTAATTCAGAACAAGAGAAAATACCAACTTCCGCTGTTTCTTCTTCTTTTACATTTTCTTTTCCCAGTGGCACAGGACCTGGAAAATTAAACCCTTTTGTCATTTCTCAAGAAAGCAGCAATTCAAGTAATACTGGCTTCAA